AACGTTTTCTTCTTGAGAAAGTAAGACAGTAGCAACGTTTTCTTCGGAGGAATCTCATTTGGAGGCCAAATTTGTCTTACTCGAATCACAGCCATGACAATGAAGACGATAGTAAGCCCAAAAGTAAGGAAAATCCCACCGATCATAAAAACTTAGAAAGGGTAACACTGTCTTTTCATATTAATTTTAATAGACTAGTGGCTACTATTGCTAAGCATTAAAAATGTTGGATAAAAAGTAAATATCACTTTAAAAAGTGGCTACCCCACACAATATTTACCCAACGTTAAGGTAAAAATTATGCGGGGTATCCTATTTGGTCGCCTCCATTTAACCTATATCTACTTTTTAAAAAAATTTTAACTTGTACCCACTGTTTAAACAACTTCAGGCCTCTTTCTCCTCCTCCTTCTCCTCCTTCGTTTTCTAAATGCTGAAACTTGAGATTTGTTATGCGTTCTAGCCTGATGATTCATATATATTTGCTTGTCCCATTATGTTTAATTTGGTCTTATTCACAATAATTTAACCTCTTAGATATTTTAGCTTTATAGACACATTGGTTTTTGGTTCTAATTTATCTGTAGTAACTTGTTTTCATGTCGAAAATATTTTTCATTCTTTAATCTTTGAAATGAACAGAATCAATCGCTGCTAATAATGATTTATTAAATTCATTGTTGTTTAGAACTTCAGCTCTAAGAATGCTGAAGTTCAGCAAATACAAAATAAACTTCAACCCTAGAATGCTGAAGTTCAATCACAAATAGCTAAAACATGCTGAAGTTCAGCAAATACAGAACAAAGCTTCAGCTAAAACATGCTGAAGTTTAGCAAATACAGAACAAAGCTTCAGCTACTAGAATGCTGAAGTTCAGCAATTACAAATAAAAACTTCAGCCAAAACATGCTGTAGTTTTATTGAACTGAAGTTTGCGTGATTTGCCTTTGCAAGTCAGACCAAACTATATCTGAAGTTTTGCTACACTTCAGGCAAAACATTTTGAAGTTCAAACTTCAGACATAAATTTTTGCTACTTCAGACTCGTATGTCTGAAATTACGCGAAAAGTGGGTACGCTTGCAATTTTTTTTGCAAAGCGGGTATAAGTTAAATGGTGACCCCAAAAACGGGTATAGATGCAAATGCCCCACGTTAAGAGATGATTTGCGTAGAAATGACATCAGACAACCACTCTAAAGGGCTGCTATTTAGGAATTAATCAGTGCATCCTGAATTATAGTTTTTCAGTTTAAATTTTTAGGACAAAAATATCTTGAATTGTCATGAAGTTAAAAATTTTAATTTAAAACTTCAAGACAAAATAAATATTGACTAATCTTTAAATAGCATCCCTGAGAATGACTATTTGTGCGCTAGCCCCTTGATTTACAAAAGTATGACACTTCCACGTGGGTTAATGACACAAATGACCGGTTGGTCTTGAACTTTTGACTTTTGGAGCAGTTCACCTGACCAATGGGCAAAATTTTAAGCTTAACAAGTTTTATTCCATAGCAAAAAATTCTAACTTTTGACCTTGAAGATTTGTCAATTGGTCAGGTGACTGGTCCCAAAGGCCAAAAATTAAATATTATCCCTTATGGTGCCCTATTTTCTGTCAGTTTCTGCTTCCGCGCCGGTCTTTGATGTTTCCCTCCTTAGAAGTTTTGCCTTAGCTATAGAGTTGCCTTACATCTTCTTAATGATTGCAGTTTTATCTTTTTGAGTTGTTGAATTGGAAGAAATAACTCACATATATCGGGAAGGCAACTCTGTGGCTGACACTTTCACAAAGTATAGATGCTCCAATCAACCAACAACAACTGAGGGAAATAACACAATATTCTGAGAAACACCTTCGGACTTTGTTTTACATGTTTTAAATAAAGACAAATCAGAAAAAATCACTATGTGGTCTGCCCCTATGTTATGTAATAACTAATCTTACTATGTTTTAATATAAAGTATTCCTTTCATTAGCAAAACAAAAAAAAAGTTTTGCAGAAATATCCTTCTAAGTTTAAGATGTGGACAAATATACCCTTCATTAACATCATGACTTCTTCGCTACCACCAAGCTTCACTTTTAACTTGTTGGAAAAACTTTATGGTATGCCATATTGCCATTAATGGTACGAGGCCTCTTTTTATCTCATAAATTTGTGGACTCATATTTTACACTCTTAGTCTATAAAATTCTAAATCCATAAAATTGCAAAAAAAAAAAAAAAAAAAAAAAAAAAAAAAAAAAAAAAAAAACCTTACACACCCAGTGTCAGTTGTGTAAGGCATAAAATAAAATTTCCTAGGTTATTGCGTATGAAGCATAAAAGTGAGTGAATTTCCAATATCACTGTAGATGCAGAAGGATTCCATGCTATGTTCAATCTAGCTATTATAGTGGACGACCTAGAAACTCTATTGAATTAGCATGGCTTTGTGATTGTTCGATTGTTCATTAAGCTCTATTATATTAGTATGACATTGTGTTATTTGTATTCAACTTATATGTTAACTATATTTATCAACTGTATACAAAGTAAGACACTAGACTTAGCGTTTGGACGTAAGAATTGTAAAATTCTAAAACAGGGTGAAATTTTTTTTCAAGTGAAAATGGTATTTGAAATTTAGAGTTGTGTTTGGACATGAATGTAATTTTGGGTTGTTTTTGAAGTTTTGTGAGTGATATGAGTGAAAATTTTAAAAAACAGTTTTTTGGAGTTTTTCAAATTTTCGAGAATTTCCAAAATGCATCTTCAGGTAAAAATTAAAATTTTTATGAACAAACGCTGATTTTGAAAAAAAGTAAAAAAAAAATGGAAAAAAGGAAAAAATTTCTTATGTCCAAACGGGCTCGAATCTGTTTGGACATAAGAAATTTTTACTTTTTTTTTTCTTTTCGGAATCAACATTTGTTCATAAAATTTTCAATTTTCACTTGAAGATGCATTTTGGAATTTTTTGAAAATTTGAAAAACTCCAAAAAGTTATTTTTCAAAATTTTCTCTCAGATCACTCACAAAACTTCAAAAACAACTCAAAATATATTCATGTCCAAACACAAAATTTTCAAATACCATTTTCACTTGAAAAAAATTACAATTTTTTTGAAATTTTACAATTCTTATGTCCAAACGCCCACTAATCTTCCCATTTTGGATTCCAATCTTTCTCGTTCTCTTCTCCTCTCTTCCAAAACAGAACATGTGATCTAGTGAACTGTAATGAGAGAATTATTAGTGTTAGTTATAGTAGGTGTAACATTCAACTTTTTATTTCTTTTTCCAATCAAAAGCTCATGTTTGTGTCCTGCCATTGACGACAGATTGCTAGTTAATTGTGCATTTGGTTTCGTGAATCCCTAATCGTAAAGCCAAACAAAGACACACTTTTGATTTTTGACCAGAATAGTTTTCTTTATATCAAACTAAATTTAGCTACATCGAGTATAATTTTTTATAATAAATATAAAATTTATCAAAAATGTGCATTAATAACCATTAAAAAGCTTCACAACTTTGAATTTGAAAATTAAATTTTGCAAAATTATTATTTATTTGGACTGAGTATTGTTGCAAATAATTGAGAATATCCTTTGGAGTTTATACCCTAATCATGAGGGGAGTTTGGTAAAATTAGACTTGGTTTTGGTCGAAATTTCATTAAAACTCGAAGAGGAAGAAGAACAATATATTTTTAAGTTGTATGTATTTCATATATCGGTGTATTTTATTTGTACATACAACTAAATAATTATATGAAAGTTATATGTCAGTTGTATATTTTGACCAGATTGTATACATTAAAAAATTATATGTAATTATATGCAAGTTGTATGTTTTGACCTGATTGTATATATTTTTTGAAATAACTCTCGCTACTTTTTTGAAAATCTAAAAAACCAATTAAAGTTGGTAAATAGTGCCAGATTTTTGTATCTACAGAAAGAAAAAACCATTTTATCCCTTGGGCTACACTATCATTGAGCTCAAAAGCGTGCCTACCATGTCAACTTGTGTTATATTTAATTAAACTATTTACTTTTTTCTCACTCCAATATAAAATTTATCTAAGGTGACATTACACTACTTCAATAGCTTCTCAGCCTAAAAATCTACATATCATTCTCTTTGATCCACTCTCCAATATGAGCGTCGCATAAATAAACGGAAAAAAAATAATCCTAATTTGGTCAAATTAATTTAATAGAGGCCCATTACTCTATAGTCGTAATCGATGGGATCATAATCAACGTTCTTGGCTTTGTAGAAAGTATTCAAAAGAAAAGGATTACAAGATAAGCTCAAACCTTCTGTTCCTTTGGAAAAGAATATTGTATACGGTCGAAATCGGGCTCATCTATTGCGTGACGAATCGGAACCGAAAAGTAATGGATTGAAGATCGATACCAGGTTCCATCGAACCAAAATACGAAGTCAGAACATACGTCTCCAAGATCTTCGAGCCCGTGACTCCGGAACCAATCTCGATTCCGAGTAAGCTCGAGGATGATAATATACATGTATCTTTTACCATGTTAGCCTAGGAATTGTTGTATATTACCCTTCTAAATAAAGGTATTCTTATATCTTATACTTATGTACTGCTTTTCTACCTCCTCGTCCTTCTGTGACCCGTGTTCTCCTCCCTATACCTGCTGCGTTACCTAGTCCTACACCTATTGCACCCGAGTCTACTAGTTCTACCACTACTTCCGTGTCCCCCTCTTCTTCTGTTGAATCTCCTAGTTTATCATCCCTTCCTCCTAGCTCCTTAGACTCATTTTCCATACCGTTGTCTAGTACTGATTCATGTCCTATATCCACCTCCACTATTGAGCCATCACCTTCAATCTCTGATTCTGCTCAGCGCATGATTACTCGATCTAAGTGTGGTGTGGTTAAACCAAATCCACAGTATGCTCTTAATTTTATGTCTTTGACTAATTTGCCTGTTGAGCTTATTTGTTTCAGCTCTGCAGCTAAGGATGCTAGATGGCAGAAGAGTTTAGTGCCCTACTTGTAAACCAGACGTGGTCTCTTGTTCCTTGTCCATCTGGTATTAATGTTGTTGGCTGTAAATGGGTCTATCGAGTTAAACAGAAGTCTGATGACTCTCTTGATCGTTGTAAGGCGAGATTGGTAGCCAAGGGCTATACTCAGTCACCTAGTGTAGATTATGGTGAGACCTTTAGTCCTGTTGTTCAACCCACAACTATACGCCTAGTACTCTCTATTGCTATTTCTCGTGGTTGGTCTATTCATCAGCTCGATGTAAAAAATGCATTTTTAATGGTTATTTGCATGAGTCTGTCTATATGGAGCAACCACAGGGGTTTATTGATTTTGTCCGACCAGACTATGTTTGCAAACTACATAAGGCATTATATGGTCTCAAACAGGCGCCCCGTGCATGGTTTAGTCGGTTTGGTTCCTTTCTACTATCACATGGATTTCAAAATAGCTGTGCAGATTCATCTATGTTTGTTTATTCATCTGGTAGTCAATATCTTTTCTTGTTATTATATGTGTATGATATCGTACTGAAGGGCTCCGATCCTAACTAAATATCCTGGTTTTCTAGATTACTTAACTCTGATTTTTCTATTACTGATCTTGGTGATCTTCATTATTTTTTGGGTATTCGCGTCATTCGGTTGGCGAATAGTTTGCATCTCTCTCAGAGTAAGTATGCTCGAGATATTCTTGACCGTGCTGGTTTGTTACAATCCAAGTCTGTCTCCACCCCATCCTCTTCTCGATTTGCCACTATTGAGGACTCTGTTGTTGTTGATGGTACTTTATACCGCAGTCTAGTGGGTGTTTTACAATATTTGACTCTGACTCGACCAGACATTGCCTTTGCGGTAAATATAGCTAGTCAACACTTACATGCTCCTACTTCCACTCACCTTGCTGATGTTAAACGCATTTTGCGTTATATTACCGGTACTCTCGATTTTGGGTTGTTGTTGAAACCAGTTACTACTTATTCTCTTACTGCATATTCGGGTTTTGATTGGGCTAGTTGTCCTGATACTCGTCGATCTACCACTGGATCTTTGGTTTTCTTTGGTTCAAATCTCATTTCTTAGTCTTCTAAGAAGCAACATACTGTTTCTTACTCTAGTACCGAAGCTGAGTATCGTGCCATAGCTCACATTGTGGCTGAAGTATTATGGATTCACCAGCTGCTACGAGACTTGCATATTTTTCTCTCTAATGCGCTACTCATCTTTTGTGATAATGTAAGTGCCTTATATCTTACGATAAATCCTATATATCATTCCCATACAAAGCATCTTGCAAATGATTTTCACTTCGCACGGGAACGTGTAGCTCTGGTTCTTGTTCGCTATCTTCCAACGGAGCGCCAACTAGCTGACATTCTTACCAAGGGCCTATCCTCTCATCGATTTAAGACTCTTTGAGACAACCTTCGCATGTTCCCACACTCGATTGGGGGAGGAGGGNGCGTAGGAATTGTTGTATATTACCCTTCTAAATAAGAGTATTCTTGTCTCTTACACTTATGTACTGCTTTATAAATACAATGACAACCCCAAACATTACTACGGGGCATAATTATATCAGAGGAAACATTATCAGACCCAATAGTGGAAGGCCGAAATATCCGCAACCGATCGGATATCACGGCGAGAATCTCGGCACGTATCAACGAGAGACCGATTTATTAGCAAATCATGAGATTTCTTACCTTTTATAGAATTATACCTAAAGCAGGACTCCCTTACTATATAAAGGGGGTGTGATTCTTTGTAATACATATGGTAACAAGCATCCCAAAGCTTAATAATATTATTTTCTTTCTGCAAACTACTGTTCTTCTGTATTTGATATCATTTAAATCATATTCAGTTCGAGTGAGATCTATTCTCTCAAGGCTATAACTATTCAAGTCACACGGTTTGAATTTACTTTATTATTATTTGCTTTACTTATAATTCAATCTACATATCTTTAAAGCCACTTATAAATTCAATTGTTATCCGATTTTGAGGGTAAACACATATTTCAAGAAAGAAACAGAAGGAAGTTTGATAAGCCATGTTATATTTTGATTTTCCCCGTATGCTGGGTCTTGTGGGAATTAATATTAAATACTAGTATTAGAATAATTAATATCTTGTAGTTCAGGCACATTAGTAATGTCATGTTGCAAAGAAATCAAAGAAATCACATCTTAGTATACAGTATTCAAAACAATTTTGCCTTTGTTGACTAAAGTTACACGTGTATTTTCCTTTATGGGCTTGGAATATTGAGATCCAAGAAAGAAAAAATAGTAGTATCTGTTATGAAATAAAAATAATCTAGTAAAACATAAATAAAAAATAGAGAGTAAAAAAGTTTTTTTTTTCCCTTCAATTGTGTGGTTTTTTCATTTGTTACAAAGACTTTATATATGCATGAAAAATAAGGAATCACTATTGTAAAATAATAAGACGAATGGAGGATACATAAATATAATAGGGCTCAGCATGGACATCCATTATCTATTATTTTCAATGTTATCTACTTTTTTTTTTTGAGTTTTAAGCTCAAAAGATCCCGTAAAATCCAACTTTGTCCAAAACTATAGAAAAACACTACAAAAAATCGGAATTATTGTGGCGGTTAAATAACGGCGGTTCAACAAAATCGCCGTAATATGTATCATAATACGACGGCGTTCTAGATGCCATTAGTGCGTAATGTAAAACCGGCATTTTTTTAACAATTACGGCGGTTCTAAACCGCCGCTAGTTAGACAAAATTTTTAATAATTCATTTAATGTTATTATTCCGTAATATAATGTAATATATCCATTCAAAATTTCAAACACCTTCTCTCTCGTTCAAAAACCCGAAACAGAGTAAACTAAATCCCCAAAACAGCGATTCCCCAAATCATTGTACACCTTCTCTCTCGTTCTCTCTAAACAAGTGATTCCCCCAAATCACTGTAATGTAAGACGTTTATATACGTTAACGATTCTCCCAAATCCTTTAGCTTTTATGTAAGGAGATCAGATTTAGGTAATGTGTTTGAATTTCACTGATTTAGATTTTGAATCCGTTAACGATCCCTCTTTTTTTTTTTCTTTTGCTTGGTCAATTTGATATTAGCTGTACAATTTGAAGAAAAAATATTAGTATTGCTCATTTGTGAACTAAAGACAAGTTACTTCACTGAAAACGTATCAAATAATGCATGTTGATGGTATAAACAAAACTAATTTGACGATATGAATAGTTCATGCATGTTGTAGTTTTTGTTTTTCCCTGAATAAGTTTCACATGTTCTTTTCTTTGTTTATTTCTCGCTTTAGTTTCCGTTTATTCTTCAGAAGTTAAAAAGTGAGATTAAGTGATTACTATTCTTTTGATTTCCATATAGTGGCTATGAACTAGCTTTTTCATTTTTATATTGTGATGTTATCTTATATCTTCTTTTCTAGCCATGCCAATTAATAAATCTTGGATTAGCAAACCACGAAATACACTTGAATACGCGGATGGGCTTAGAAAATTTCTGGATTTTGCTTTTGAGTATGGGTCTATTGATGGGCGTGTATTAAGTGTCCGTGTCCGAAATGTGATTTTAACAAGTGGCAAAGAAGAAATGTAGTTGAAGAACACCTGACTTGTAAGCCTTTTTCAAAAAATTATAAAGTTTGGTATTTGCATGGTAAAGAATCAAATCCAACTATGCCACAAACGTTTCAGAGCACACATGTCATAGAAGAAACTCTGCAGCCCCAAGATCAAATGGTAACCATGATTAACGATGCATTTGGGTTCAGAGGGAACAATGTCAATGAGCCTGGTGTGTCTTGTGAGCCTATGAATAGTGAAGAAGCATTTAATGAAGGGCATAATGAAGAATATGCACAGTTCTATGAGCTGGTAGAAGATGGCAATCAACCGTTATATGAAGAGTGCACGAAGTTTTCCAAATTGTCCTTTCTAGTCAAATTGTATCGTATCAAGTGTTTGTGTCGAATGACTGACAAAGCGATGAGTATGATATTAGAATTGTTAAAAGATGACTTTGAAGATGCCAAAATTCCTATTTCTTTTTATGAGGTCAAAAAACCATCAACAAACTTGGTCTTAATTATACCATCCATGCTTGCCCAAATGATTGTATGTTATATTTTGGGAAAGATGAAGGCTTACAAGAATGAAAAAAGTGCAAGACATCTAGGTGGAAGGACAATAAAAAGAAGCAGCCCGCAAAGATTTTGCGCTACTTTCCACTAAAGCCAAGGCTGCAGAGATTGTTCATGTGCTCTAAAATTGCTGAGTCTATGAGATGGCATTCTTCTGCGGGTAACCAAGATGGATTGATGAGGCATCCAAGGGATTCTCAAGCATGGAAAGCATTTGACTTGCTTCATCCTGAATTTTGCTGTAGATCCTCGAAATGTACGACTAGGCCTAGCTAGTGACAGTTTCAATCTTTTTGGAGCAATGGCAACAAACTATAGTATTTGGCATGTGGTTCTTATTCCATACAATCGTCCTCCTTGGGAGTGCATGAAACAAACTTCATTCATTCTTTCAATGATCATTCCAGGAAAATAAATGCCCGGCAATGACATTGACGTGTACTTACAACCTCTTATCCAAGAGTTGAGAGAATTGTGGTACGATGTAGTGCAGACATTAGAATCTTCAAAGAATGAAAATTTTAAAATGCGAGCAGCCTTGATGTGGACAATTAGTAATTTTCCTGGGCTTGGCAACTTATCTGGATGGAACACATACACTCAGTTTGCTTGTCCCACATGTAACTTTGATACAGACTCTTGCCGGCTGAAGCATAGTAGAAAATGGTGTTTCATGGGTAATCGTCGTTTTCTTGAAAGCGGCCATCGGTTTAGATTGCAGCGCGTCCATTTTAATGGAAAAATAGAGCAACGGGAGCCACCAATAGCATTATCAGGGTCAGACATATTGAAACAAATGGAGGGAATCAATAATAGTTTTGAGAAAGTACCTGAGTCGAATGCTAAAGGTAAAAGAACTCGAGGAAAAATTATTGCTGAAGATGGACTGAAACAGTGGAGAAAGAGAAGCACATTCTTTGATCTTCCTTATTGGAAATCTAAATTGTTGCGTCATAATCTAGACCTTATGCACATTGAGAAGAATGTGTGTGAGAATGTGATATATACTTTGCTCAATGATACTGAAAAGTCAAAAGACAATCTTAAAGCTCGGAATGATCTTAGAAAAATGGGTATAAGGAATGAACTTTGGGCAGATGAGAATGGAAGCTATCGTCCAGCCTTGTTCACTCTTTTAAATACAAAGAAAAGTGGATTTAAGAAAGACATATTTTTGCAGACTTTAAAAAATGTCAAAATGCCCGATGGATACGCTAGCAACATTTCAAGATGTGTCGACTTGAAACAACAAAATCTCAAGTCAATGAAGAGGCATGATTTTCACATTCTCATGCAGCACTTGTTACCAATTGCCATACGTAATGTTTTACTAGACAAGGTGACTGCAGTATTAATAGAGTTGAGTTCGTTCTTCCGTCAACTCTGTGCCAAAAGCTTAAGTCCCTTAGACCTTGACAGGCTCCAGTCTCGGTATTTTATCACCATGAATCACCTGGAAATGTTATTCTCTCCTACATTATTTACAATCATGGTTCATTTAACTTGTCATCTAGCTGATGAAGCAAAACTTGGGGGACCTCAACAGTGTCAGTGGATGTATCCTATCGAGAGGTAAACAATATTTCTCATTGCTTGATTGGAGCTTGTTATTTAAGAATAGATGTTAATTTGTATCCATCAACTAATTTAGTGGTCTTTTGTTTAGGTATTTGGGACACTTCAAATCCTATGTGCGAAACATGTCACAACCAGAAGGCTCTATAGCTGAAGGATATCTAGCTGAAGATGCTCTTACTTTTTGTTCCCAGTATATTGAAGGGATTGAGATAAGATTTAATAGGCCACGTCATGTTGACAATTTTCCGGTGGATAGAGGCTCGGCGAATTCATCTAGTATTTTCCCACAAGTTGGTAACGGACTAGGAGCTGTAACATTTGAGTTGTCACCTATGGAAAAACGTCAAGCACATCTATATGTGTTACTAAATTGTCCACAAGTCATGCCATTCATTACGTGAGTATTTAAGGCAAATCTAAATAAAAAATGCATTAAATACATGAAAACTTATGTTAATTGTTATATTTATATCAAAATCTCATGTAGTGAATTTAAAGCTTATGTGCGGATGCACCTTTAGCCGCATGTTCTGATGTTTGCACGGAAATTAATCTGCTTCCAACATGTTCTGGTGCTTCTATTGAACATAATATTGTGTTTGTGCAGAGGCCTGAATCTGTATATAGTTTAATCCCAGGGCTGTTACTCCTTCATTATGATGTTATGCAATTGTAACGATTTCAGATCTGAAGAAAGGTCACCATGATAGGAGTGTTTTCGATGAAGACTTCATTTGTGATCTGTATCTATTGAAGCACATACTGTCTGGAGAAAATTCCCCTTTTGAGCAAACCCCTCATTCTTAAGATTTTTATTTTGTTGATTGTCTATATCTTAAGTGAGTTTCTCAACATTAGTAACTATTTGCTTACTCAATTTGACAAGATGGGTTTAGATTAAGGTTTCCTATCATGTTAAAGGCTTTTCCATAAATCATGCATCCAATATGATTTTTAGTTGAAATGGTTTGTGGAGTTTCCATACACTATCTGGTTTGATTGAAAGAAATGAAGTTATTGTTGATACAAGTAATTCCAGCACTTCAGAATCTACCCATTGACTCGATCCTTAGCTTTTATAATTATATTTTGTCTCTCGTGTCGGAAAGAATTGAAGAAATTCGAAGACAAAGACCAGAAACTCGGGCAGAAATTTCACCGAATGACGCGCTTGGTGTAGTCTTCGGTCCCGAGCACCCTGGTCGTGTTCGAGGCTTAGGCATGGATGCAGTTCCAATTGTAGTATTCAAGCAAACATCAAGACGAGGTGGTGGTTCTTATATGAGCACAGTTAGCACTAGTGCTCCACCTCCACAATGGGTGCAAGAGATGGCAAATATGAGAGCACAATTAAATGCGCTAACAAGCTTATTTCAAATGAAAATAGGAATATCCCCGAGGAGTTTGCTCACTTATTTCCGACTCCTTCACAGGTAAGTCTTCTCTTTATTTTTTCTTGGTCTATCAAGAAAAGTTCAAGGGGGTCTAGTGATACTTTCTTCAGTTTTCACTGCAAGTTTAGCTAATGCATTGACATATGAAGAGGCACTTCAGCAATCAACTACTGGTACTTCAACGGCCGATTTTGATACAAATGCCTTCGTTGAAACTGTGACAAATGGAACTTGTTTAACAGTAGCATTACTCAGGATAATTGTTCTCTGATGGTATATACTTGGTTGTATCTTCTGAGTTGTTAGTTAGAAATTGGTATATTTAGCACCAGGATAATGACATTATGTGCAATAAGGGAGACCAATTGTTCATGTATTATCTATTGTTCTGGTGATTGTACTGTATCTGTTTGGAATATAATTGCTGCACTGCACTTATGTCAATTAAATCAACATCAAGCTCCCTAAATAAGCTGCATTGAGTCATTTTATAAACAGGAAGTTAAGATGAAAAGGATACTTGTTCCTGGATTTGGATTAGTTAACAGTTTCAAGGAAACATTTGCTTTTCAAGAGTAGCTATAGGAGATCATATAATTGTTCTCTAGACATCAGTGACCCTACTTGCTGGTACATCTCATCTTGCACCAATCTATAATTTTAGTCCTAAAAGTATCCATTAAATAGCTATATCATTTTTGACGTTGATGTTCTGTACCTTTGAGATTCTAAAACCTGGGCTGGTTTCAAATTATCTAGGAGATCCATCAAATAAGATTGGACATCAATGTGGCTGCCTTGTGCAAGTGTTCCGGATATAACACCGGAATTGTGAATACTCTGTGATGCTTCTAACTATCTTTCCAAGCCTTAGAATTTCTCCTTCACAGTTTTAGGCACAACCAGATCTAACTTCTTGTAGGAACCTAAATTTTTGGATAGAAATGTTGCTTAGAATAGTGGATTGAAGGTGTGTATGAGTATAATAAGTTGTTTTATTTCAGAAATTACTTTCTTTGTGGATAAGTAGATAATCCATTTGTTAATGTTGGCATACAAGTTGTGTAGCACATGTATACATATGTACTACATCATAGCTAGCACATGTATATGAGTTGTATAGTAGGTGTAATTAGGTGTATGGCAACTAATAGATTAGGTGAATTAGTATTATAAATAGGTCTTGTAATCTTCTCTTCTAGATATGAAATATAGTACTTCTTTGGTTTCTAAAATGGTATCAGAGCATTGAAGTTTTTTCATCAGTTTGTTGTTGGGAATTTTTTTTTCCCCGTTCGAATTATTTTTGTTCAGAACAGTCTTTCGCTGCTTTGATTCTATTTCACTATTTCCGGCCATTTTTTGCCCCGGCCGCTTCTTTACAGATTTTTCTATTGTACTGTTCAAATATCACTGTTCACTGTTCACTATTCAAATTTCATTGCACTGTTCTTGACTATTTGATTCTGCTATTATTCGGGTGCAAGATGACTGAAACGAAACCT